CTCTCTCTCTCTCTCTCTCTCTCTCTCTCTCTCTCTCTCTCTCTCTCTCTCTCTCTCTCTCTCTCTCTCTCTCTCTCTCTCTCTCTCTCTCTCTCTCTCTCTCTCTCTCTCTCTCTCTCTCTCTCTCTCTCTCTCTCTCTCTCTCTCTCTCTCTCTCTCTCTCTCTCTCTCTCTCTCTCTCTCTCTCTCTCTCTCTCTCTCTCTCTCTCTCTCTCTCTCTCTCTCTCTCTCTCTCTCTCTCTCTCTCTCTCTCTCTCTCTCTCTCTCTCTCTCTCTCTCTCTCTCTCTCTCTCTCTCTCTCTCTCTCTCTCTCTCTCTCTCTCTCTCTCTCTCTCTCTCTCTCTCTCTCTCTCTCTCTCTCTCTCTCTCTCTCTCTCTCTCTCTCTCTCTCTCTCTCTCTCTCTCTCTCTCTCTCTCTCTCTCTCTCTCTCTCTCTCTCTCTCTCTCTCTCTCTCTCTCTCTCTCTCTCTCTCTCTCTCTCTCTCTCTCTCTCTCTCTCTCTCTCTCTCTCTCTCTCTCTCTCTCTCTCTCTCTCTCTCTCTCTCTCTCTCTCTCTCTCTCTCTCTCTCTCTCTCTCTCTCTCTCTCTCTCTCTCTCTCTCTCTCTCTCTCTCTCTCTCTCTCTCTCTCTCTCTCTCTCTCTCTCTCTCTCTCTCTCTCTCTCTCTCTCTCTCTCTCTCTCTCTCTCTCTCTCTCTCTCTCTCTCTCTCTCTCTCTCTCTCTCTCTCTCTCTCTCTCTCTCTCTCTCTCTCTCTCTCTCTCTCTCTCTCTCTCTCTCTCTCTCTCTCTCTCTCTCTCTCTCTCTCTCTCTCTCTCTCTCTCTCTCTCTCTCTCTCTCTCTCTCTCTCTCTCTCTCTCTCTCTCTCTCTCTCTCTCTCTCTCTCTCTCTCTCTCTCTCTCTCTCTCTCTCTCTCTCTCTCTCTCTCTCTCTCTCTCTCTCTCTCTCTCGTAAACATATATCTCTCTTTTTACCACACTTCCATATTTTGTCTTTTTTAAATCCACACGAAATTAGTTTTTTAAACCTATTTGGTCTAAGTCCATCGAAGAAAATGTATTTTTTTTAAAAAGATCTCCGTTTTTTCCCTCAATATTTTTCCTATCTGAGGAGGGAGTTATGTATTCTCAACGAACGTCTTATCAAAACAATAAGACCAGCCGGCCATATCAAGCAAGACGGACACGAGGGGGAAAAAAATTAAGATAATCTAAAATCACCTTCCATCCTCAACTGCGTCTCTGGAAGGTCGAATTTGCTTGATTATGGCCATCAATTCCTTCGCGTCTCGAGGGGGGGAGGGGCAAGGACGGCAGCTGGGGGGGGGAGAAGAGGGGGGGAAAGAAGAGAAGCAAGGAGGTGGAAGGAGTAAGGGAGGAAGAAGAAAAGGGAGAAGGAAAGAGGAGGAGAATAAGGAAGAGGTAAGAGAGAATAAAACGGAAGAACATGGAGAGAGAGAGAGAGAGAGAGAGAGAGAAAGAATAGAACGAAGGGAATTCCAGATCACGACGCTACCAAGATTCAGTGATTCACCTGACAGTCCCAAGAAGCTCGAAGCAAGATCTCCCTTTTCACGACTTCGGAATTTCCTGAGCTTGGCTGTCTCGTGGTGTCGTGAGGGTCCGTGTCCTAATTTGTGGGAATATTTTGGGCTCTTAAGGATATCGCCATCCGGTTCTGCGTGTCCGTTTGACTTCCATCATGCGTTCGCCTCTTCGGATACTCGTTTTTTCTCGTTTTTTTTCCCTTTTGAACGCTCTTTGCAATCTCGTAGGTTCTCTGTTGTTAACGTTTTCTCTCTTTTTTATTTTTTTCTTTCTTTTTCTATCTATGTCTGTATCTTTCCCTCGATCTATGTTTTTTTTCTCTTTATTCTTTTTCCTTCTCCCTCTCTCTGTTATTCTCTCTCTCTCTCTCTCTCTATCTATCTATCTATCTATCTTTATCTGTGTGTGTGTGTGTGTGTTTGTGTGTTTGTGTATCTATCTATCTATATATTTATCCATTTATTTACACCCTCCTCTTCTCTCTTCGCCCCCCCCCCCTCCTCCTTATACCTCAACTCGAGTGGCCTCTTCCTCCCCCCCCCCTTCCTACACCCCACCCGCCCCCTCCTCCCTGAATATAACTTCCTCCACTGGACACATAAACTACCCTACCCCCTTCCCTGACCCCCCACCCTCCCCCTAGTCCTCATTGTCTGCTCAGTCGTGCCCACACCCTAAAAATCTTTGCAGACTCTGTGCCAATTTAGTTCTGCCTTGTACCTTGTAGGACGCTACCTGGGTTCCCTTTCCCTTCCTTCTTTTACCTGGCTTTTGGGGTTTTATTTCATTCTCTCTGTTCTCTGTCTTCCAGCTGTTGTCTAGACCTCCCTCAGAAGGCTTTGTATCCCGTAAAAGCTTTGGGTTCAACGTTGTCTGTTTTTCTTGTGTGAACTGAAAGAATAACCGTTCTTTCGTTTCTGTTTTTGTGCCTCTCTCTCCTTTTCTTTTCTTTTGTTCTTTTCTTTTCTTTTGTCTTTCCTTTATCTCTATCTATCTATCTATCTATCTATCTCAATCCATCATGCTTTTTTCTTCTCCTTTCTTTCCGTTTACTTTTCCCTTCCTCCTTTCCCTTTCCTCCTCCTTTCCTCTCCCTCCCTCCCTCCCTCCCTCCCTCTTTCTCTCTCTCTTTCTCCGTCTACCTTTCCCTTCCTCGTTCTTTCCCTTTCCCCCTCATCTCCTTTCCTCTCCCTCCCTCCTTCCTTCCCTCCCTCCCTCTCTCTCTCTCTCTCTCTCTCTCTCTCTCTCTCTCTCTCCTTTTCCCTCCCTCCCCCTCCCTCCCTACCACGAGGTCAACGTCACACACTTACTATTCTCATTCCTAACCCAAAGTGAAACTACAATGGAAAGCATCTTTACGAGTGAGTCGAACGCGGGGAGAAAAATGCTAATCCTGACTTTATGCTGAGTGCGTGCTGACCTTCCGGCTTGATGTGTCTCTCTGGTGACCTTGGCTCATCATGTCCAGTTGACCTTGGAGGGCGAATGACTTGTTTTTTTTTTGCGGTGGTTTATGGTGACACTATTATGGGGTTTATGGAAATGTTTGCTCGTACGGTCATAATGCTTTTTGAGGGTTGTGCTAAGTGGAAAAAAGATCGTCTTACCGGTTGTTCGTGTCCGGTCGTCTCTCTCTCTCTCTCTCTCTCTATCTATCTCTCTCTCTCTCTCTCTCTCTCTCTCTCTCTCTCCATTCCTCTATTTCTCTCTCTCTCTTTCTCTCTCTTTCTCTCTCTCTCTCTCTCTCTCTCTCTCTCTCTCTCTCTCTCTCTCTCTCTCTCTCTCTCTCTCTCTCTCCTCCCTCTTTCTCTCTCTCTCTCTCTCTCTCTCACACACACACATATATATGTGTATATATATAATATATATATATATATATATATATATATATATATATATATATATATATATATATATATATACATATATATATATAATATATATATATATATATATATATATATATATATATATATATATATATATATATATATATATATATATATATGAATATACATATATATATTCATATATATATTATATAAATATGAATATATATATATGAACATATTTATATATATATATATATATATATATATATATATATATATATATATATATATATATATGTATATATATATATATATATATATATATATATATATATATATATAAATATGAATATATATATATGAACATATTTATATATATATATATATATATATATATATATATATATATATATATATATATATATATATATATGAATATATATAGCTAATCTGTCTATCTTTCTCACTCTCTCTCTCTTTCTCCCCTTAACTTCATTTTACGGAAAGTTTCTAAAATAGCATAAAACACCACGTTTTTTTCCCGACAGCCTCATTTCGCTCCTGTTACAAAACCCAAAAATAGTTGTCAGGGATTCTCACCTGCAATTATCGGCGAGTCCAATTACATGACGAATCAACGCGAAGGTCGAACAGGTGAGCGTATCGCGGGTGGGACCATAACGTTCGTGAGTGCGCCGGAAATGCCGTTGGGTCGTCGTCGTCGCTCCCCCCCCCCTGCACACTCTCCTCCATCATCTTCTCTTCTCCCCATTCTCTTTTCCTCCTCTTCCTCATCATTATCGTCTTTTCAACTCTTTCCCTCTTCCTTCTCTTTCCCTCCTCTTCCTCATCATCATCGTCTTCTAAACTCTTTCCCTCCTCCTTCTTTTTCTCGTCATGTTTTCTATTCTTTCCCTCCTCTCGTCTTTCCTTCTTCCCGTCATCATTCCCTCTTCCCTATTCCCCCTCTTTCCTTCCTCCCACTAACTTCCTCATTCTTCTTAACCGTTCCCTCTCTTTTACTCTTCTTCCCTTCCTTTTTTCCGTCTCCTTCTTTTCGTTCTATTCCTCCCCTTCCCTCCTCCGTTCTTCCTCGCCTTCTTACACCCCCCCCTCTTACACCCCCCCTCTTAACGCCCCCCCCCCCATCGTCAGCCATCCCCCCGCTCTTCACACCTCGAATCCCTCACACTTCCTACACTTAACACCTGAGGACTTACACCTCCTTCCACCTCCTTCGTAGTTGGGTGTTAAGTGAGCTTTTCCTCTGCTTTGGGACACCATGGATTCGTAAAGTTGTTTGTGGATGCAGGCGGATGTTCTAATGGGCAGTTAATGAATAATCTAATTAGCTCGCGGTTAATGAGTAGAACTGCAGTGTGATGCATCCTGTTTTCTTATAAACCTAATTAGGGCACTTTTTTACATGTTAGTATTATGTCATCCTCGCTGGACACGCATTGCCACATCGCATTTTCAAAAAAACTGTTCACGAAACGGGTATAACTTTCTAATACCCGAGTGTCCGCTTTCGATGGCATGCCAACACGTCTGGGTATCAAATGCCACGTCCCTGAAATCCCAGCGCCCGTTAACCAGTCCCCTTTTTCTCTCCCTTCTTCAGACGACCATCAAGGTGTTCGCCAAGTGCCTCCGTTCCGACATCGAGTACAAGACGATCTCGGTGAGTTCGAGAGCCACCTGCCGCGAGGTCGTGAGTCTCCTGCTGTCCAAGTACCGCATGCGACACCGCGACCCGAACCTCTTCTACCTCACCATGGAAGTCACCGTCAGGAGGTAAGCTCAGGTCTCGAGCCTCTGTAGACGTGGCTCTTCGTGGTTCTACGCTGACGTCACAATTCTTGTTTCCTGTGGCTGACCTTTCGAAAAATCCGCTTGTATTTGTTAACGCAGGAGGAGTTATACCTGTTTGTCTGTCTGTCTGCCTCTCTCTCTCTATCTATCTATCTATCTATCTATCTATCTATTTATCTGTCTGTCTATCTATCTATCTGTCTATCTATCTTTATCTCTATCTATCTATCTGTCTATCTGTCTGTCTCTATCTCAAGTTTGTATGTGACATGAGAGCCCACGCAGGGTCGTATTAGACATCATCCAAGATATCTCATCCTTTTAAAATGTAAAATTTTGTCTCAATAAACTTGTCAGAGTCAGTCTCTCCTTCCTTCTCTCTTTTCTTATCTTCTCTAAAATAAACTTACATTTGTTCACGTACGAGGAGAAATACTTGTTGTCCATTCTGTTGCTCAACATTACGATTCTGGTCATTGACACACTGGCTTTCCTTAGAATCCTCCCGTTTTATGATTTTCGCAAATGACACCCCCGCTTTTATTGCGAACAAGGGGATATTTACACGTGCCTGTTCCTCACAAAAGCCTCCTCTCCTGCAGGTGGTCCGGCGCTCCTGTGAGGTCCCTGCTGGTGTTGGAGGAGAACGCCCGCCCCGCACAGCTCGCCCTCTGTAGGCCGCCCGGGGATTCGAGGTTCGCCCTCCAGATGCGTCGAGGGGGAGTCATCAAGGTGCACGACACCGTCCTCATGCCGGGGGTGAGTTACTGCTGGATATTTTTGTGTATTTTTAAAAATCGTTTTGTGGCTTTTGGTATTATTTTTGTTGTTGTGGTATTATTATTATTATTATAACTATTGTTATCATCATCATAATTGTGACTATTATATAATAACTGATTAACATTAGTATTACTTCACGATAGTTTGTTCTATAAGATAACAAATTACTTG